CTCTATCATTCGTTGTCCTGCCGAGGTTCGGCTCATTTTATTCAAGACAGAGATCAAACTCGGCCAGTGGGTTGGATGCCGAGAGGTGCAGAATCGGCTCCCAAGTCCCCCACTGCCGGAGGCCTGGACCGAATTTGAGCGGGGCCGCTGAGGGAACCGCGGCACCGCGCAAAACCCAGCACTTGCTACGGATTGCTCCTATTTTGTCGAGCTTATACCATCTGGTTGAATGCAAAGCCACCGCAGCCGGACATGGGTCAACTGAAGTGCGATTCGCGATAAATGCGTAACTATTTTAAATATCACAAAGTACGCCACGAAACGACATTCGAGCGACAGCCACATCCAATGGGTGTTCTCAATATTGGTGTACTTTCTAGGATAGTGGTATTGCCTATTAGGGCGAGGAATTAATTCTGTGGCCAATCATAGTTCGCAGTCAGGTATTCCACCAGTGCCGCTCCAACAAATGTAAGAAAGCAGGCTATCATGGAGGGAATGCGAGTATTACGCGTTATAACATTAGCAAAGTGCCTGAAGTGTACTGGTACGCTTTCTCATTCATCTCATTAATGAAGACTTGGGCATATTTGTCTTCTCGTATTCGTGCTTCTCATCTTGGACTTATTATTGGTGAAATTGTCCGTTTAGGAATCTCAGCTCGTCGCACTGATCAGCTCAGTAGCAAGATGTTATCCCCACTTAGACCCAGCTATTTCTATTAGGGGGCTTGGCTGGGAGCCATTTCAAAACATCACAGTCATGGATGATAGCTCGTAAGTCAGGCACTATATTTGGTGGAGGCTGCCTTCATGGGTAGCTTCATCTTCTCCCCAAGGCAATTCTGCCATTCGAAGCGCTGTAATCACGCATCATATGTCATTTGTTGTGCACACCTGTCTCATATCACGGAAGCTTGATCCATTTCGGGTCGTAGGATGTCTGTTTGTAAGGTAGGTTGTATTCGTTTCTCGGCACACTACAAGCGAACCGTTTGCATACTGGCTATCAAGTTACATCTTGCTCGGCATTCTCATGCCGCCGTCAAGTCTGATCACCGTCCCGTTGAGCATGATGTTTTCAATCAGGTGTACGGCGACTGCTGCAAATTCGTCTGGCTGTCCTGCCCGCTTGGGGAACTCCATGGCAGACTCCAAGCTTGTCCGAACTTTGCCAGTCATGCGCGATGTCATGGCGCTTTCAAAAAGCGAAGGTGCAATAGTAGCAACCCGAATACCAAATCGGGCGAGATCCCGGGTCATGGGTAGTGTCATTGCCGTGATTGCGCCCTTGGAGGCCGCGTACGACACCTGTCCCTTCTGACCGTCGAAAGCGGCTGATGAGGCAACCATGATCACGATTCCACGCTCTCCATCAGGTTCGATTGGTTCAACCTTGGCCAGTTGGGCTACTGACTGTCGCACTAGATCAATAGTACCTCGAAGATTCACGTTCAGCACCCAATCGACCAATTTGAGGTCGAAAGGGGCACCGTGTCTGTCTAGGATCTGTCAAAAGTCGCGTCAGTACTCCATTCCTTGCAGTTAAGAAGGGCAACTCACAGTGGCAGGCCCGCCTACACCAGCAGCGGCAACGACACCTCCAAGCGGCATCTTAGTTAGCGCACTCCATTGTGCAGCACCATTGACTGCTTCTGTGACAGATTCGGTTTGCGTCACATCGCACAGGAAGAATTTCGTTTGCGAGCCCAGCTTGTCCACAAGGACGGCACCGGCGTCTTGAGATATGTCCAAGATAGCCACATGGCCGCCTTTCTCGACGAGGTGCTCAACGCAGGCCTGTCCCAAACCGGATGCGCTGTGCCAGAGGTCAGTAATCGTGGCTCAGAACTCTGGGCAAATCCCTATCTTACCCGCCGGATACGATAAATGTCCTTCCCTCGATTCTCATTTTGCGACGCTCAAGTACCCATACGGATCAGAAAGACACTGATTAGCAGACCACAGCTATGCGCCAGGACTAAGAAGTGCACTGGAACTTATTATGCGTTTTCAGTGGTATAGACATGAACCGTTCGTCTGTCCGAACGTGTACCGATTAATCAAACGATGAAGCTGCAAGGGACCAAGTACAGCCGAGTGGCCTTAGACGCCTCGGTACCTGTGCCAAGTTGGCGAGCGGCCGCCGGCAACGGATCCACCCCACGTTGCCGTGCCTCGGTCACACAATAAGTCAGATAGATCAAAGCGTTGGATATGTAAGTCATTGATCGCTAGGCGCAAAATATTGTGCAAATACCCTCTGCTTGCTGAGTTTCTCTTGCTCGTAAGCAGCAAATTTGTCTCGAACTTCGTGCATCTTGAATCGGAATACGATGGGGCAGGCTATCACGTATCACATAGGAAACGTGGACATCAGGGAGCGGGTTACAAGCGTACTCTTGTAAGACTACATCAAGGGAGGAAAATGCTCTACCAACGGCCATATACACATGCAATATTCCACTAAGGCGTTGTTTATTGCCGCAGAACAGAGAAAACGGATTACAAGAAATCATGCAACACAAGTGAAGGTGGCTTTGAACCTCCTTCCTCTCTGAAACAGTCTATACTGGCCACCTCGGCTTCAAACATGTCGAGTCTAGTCCAGTCGTATAGCGGGCATGACTACAAAATCGCAGTGCCATTGACATGGCTGCTAACCCCCTCTTGAAGCTATGTGAGTAAAATGCTCGCTTATGGAGGAAAAACATGATGCTTACGTGGACAATTTGCTGGAGCGCTTGTGAAGAAGAATGTCCACTGGTTCGTTTCACGACATCGACGAGCCAATGTTTCTAGGTTGAGCATCTCACCCAAAGGCATCCCCCAAAGGGACAGGATATACTCGTGAAGGTGGTAATCTAATATTTTTAGTCAGCGAATCCCCAGCTGCAAGCACATGCATTCCCTTGATTCGAAGAATGGGGGAAGAAAAGCACAACTGACCCGCCTTGGTCGGCCAAGCTTCAAATGTGGGCGAGTCCCCAGCAACAGCAGCAAAGTAGCAGTCATGCAGCCAGTCAAGTATAGATTCCTCTTGAGCTACGCCGCCAAACTTGATTTCTTTGTGGCCCCTGAGTCCCAGATGGGCGCGTTCGGTTGGACTTTTGCTGTGATAGGCCTCGACCCACCCACTCCGGATGAAGAGGATGTCGCCAATCTCAATGTCGCCTCCTTGCGCCTTGGGCCGAATGTCTATGCCCTGCGCTCGGCCGCATTCGAGCAAGTCTTGATAAGAGATGCTGCAAGTGTCGTATGGATCAAAATGAAGACTCTTTGCATGCGCATAAGAGCAGAAATCTAAAAGCACGCCGCGGCCAGCGATGCCACGCTCAGCCCAGTGGTGAATTGAGCATTTCAGATTACTGGCCGGTCCCTCGATGTCTTGTCCCTTGGTCTGTTTTGACAGTGCATTCGATCAATCTCATCACGGTTCACAGAACAAGAGGAATATGAGTGCCATACATTGTTGTAAAACGTCCCAGAAGGTAAATGAGCAAACTGGTGTGGATCAGCAATCAAGATGTAGTACACCTATGAGGGGGGATGGTACGTACATGTCTGAAGCCGTCCCACTGAGTGCCGCTCTGGGTGTTCATGTAGTAGTTGTCATCGTAAAATAACCCAGGAGCCAGAGTCTTGATGTGGTGGACAAAGGGCTCTCGATTGAAGGCAGGCTGGCCTGGGACATTGAGAGGTAGGCTACCAGCGTGTTGAGATAAAATTGTGCCGGTGGGATTCGAGAGTTTCGTACTTTACCGGTATGACCTCGCCACTTTTGATTGCTTTTGATGCAGCCAGCACACGGGCGCGGGTGAGAAGATTGAGGCGGCCGACCTAACGGCTAATGAGCTCACTAATACCCTTCGGCAAAGGGAACCATGGCAACTACATTATCTTCAGCGCCCCAAACCCAGGCAGCATCTTTTGGGGCTCCCGGAATGCTAGGCAGATCTCTTCGGAGTGGAAATGAAACGCTTTCGGGGTCCCAGGTCTCGGGCAACTGAACGCGCTCGGTATCTCGAAGGGGTGCCATGGTTGAGAATAGTATGTTTTGAGCGACAAGGCAGTGACGGGGAAAACATATAACCAGAAGAGATATTTCAGAAACGTAGATCGATGGCTGCGAGGAACAAGTAATAAGTTATGAATTTACGAAGCATACCAGCCGTGACATGGGGCCGGAACTATGACGGCACCAGCGCCTGTCCTTTCCTAGTGAGGGGTTGCCAGCCGCGGGGTGCATGGCCGGGCCCTGGTCATGGCGCATGTTACCCCGGATCTTCACTCGATTCCGAGTCACCAGGGTCTCAGAAAATGATAATGATGACTACACAGTAGAAATTGTCTTTTCTTTCTTTCTTCGGCCCTTCAGAGACTAGTCGCCCTGGGAGAGTCCTCCAATCGACCACAGGGATGGAATAGAGAGTTTGACTTAGGTAGCTCGACGTGAACGATCCTGCATGCGCCGAGCCAATCGGCAGTCTCTGAGCGTGCCGAGCTTGAGAGAACTCGAGCTTGAGTAATCATCTTATTGGCATATCGTTATGAGGAGGTAACGGGCCAAGCTCTGCGCTCCTTGCTGTGCTATGCTTTTCCCAGACGCAGCAGCTGTCTTTTTCAATACCTGGGTTTTTAAAGCTCGTTTCGACGCTGGGTGGTCCCAGCAACGTTCTACGCGCAACATTTCCTGAGATCGTACGTTCATTGTCACGTAACAGGGATAGTAACCGCATCTCACGAAGTGCCCGTCACGTGCTAAATCACGTGTCTATCTTAGATATCGTATATATAGACCTTTTCCTTTTGTCTATTTCTACTTTAATAATTAAGCTACTTTTATTATACTCCGTATGCCCATTGCTACGTACTATAACTCGTGATAGTTATAAGCCTAGCTCCTATTCGCTATTACTATAATAGTTAAGTACTGCATTATCTACAGGTCGTGCACCTAAAAAGCGAGAAGCGGCCGTTCGAGTCTCCGTATAAGTAGAGGTTTTTTTAACTAGTCTACTACCTACGGGGTTAAGGCGCAGTATAGACGCCTATTGTACGGATGATGGCTCTAGGCGTCTAGGGGGTGTGTCACGAGATATGGATGTGGTTAATGCTGCCCACATTGAGTGGGCCCGCTTTTTGTGACATTCATTCTACCATCGCCTGGGCAAGTTCTTGTTCATCGATAGCCCCTCTTTCACCAAAAGTCAACAGGAGCTGTAGCCAGCCAGTCGGTAGCAGGATGTGGGTCTAAGGATGGTGCCGCGGTAAGTGGAGCTTGACCCCAGTTACCTACCTACATCTCCGTAATACTAGGTATTATTAGTACAAGTTGCCGAGGTCGAACGACGACAAAGAGGCAATACAACCTAGAGAAAGCGGAAGGCTTCGCAAGTGTTACAGAATAACCCACAGGATCATCATGTAACTTGGGCGGCAAATTCATCTATGAAACCAACATTATCCGCGAAAGGTTCGGGCTCGTGAGGAAAAGCATTTCCTGCTGACGGTGGTAGTATTGATATTATAAAAAGCGATGACTAGTTACAAGCAAATGCTAGAATAGTCTATACAAGCCCCGGAGGGTGAAGAGGTCTGAAGTCTCGCTGTAAAAGGCACGACGCACTACTAGGTAACCCCATAGGTAACGCAAGTAAGTTTACACCTGTAATGGTGAACCTAAAATCGGATTAACTGGAGAGCCAACGACTCTCTAGACAACTCTCGCATTCCTCCTTCTGCTAATGTCCGCAGTTTTGTCCCCGTCTGGATATCCCCATGCATCGACACCGCAAGTGCCCCACCTTCGCCACCAGCGATATCCATACGACACTCCCTTTTTGGCCGTCCAGTGATTGTCTGGATTCCGTCGAACTCGGGGGCGGCCATGCAAGCCTGGATCGTGTCAGCCATCAGCTACTCGCACTCAAGTTGCTCGACATTAGACTCACATCTTCCCTTATACTTCTTTGTCTGAGGGCGCTTCGTAAACTTTCGGCAATCGGCACAGTATCTCAGGTCTCCCATGGACCCACGAAGCCTTGCATATAGCGGGCACGTGGTACACGAGCAGTGCCTACACCACTGCCGCCGGCACATAGCGTGGTCGGTGGCATACGATCGACAAGGCGTCCAGTTTGAGCATCTTCTCGGAGGCTCGGCGTACTTGTAGACGTGGCGTTTTCTCCGATGCCAGTAATTATCCTGGACAACCCCGATTGCTGAAGTGTCACCGCATTCGCACTTGATCGTTTCTGGGGGGTTGACTTGGTCGTAGGAGAGTAGCGAGGGTTTTGTTGGGATTAGTGGAAGCATCATGGCGCGGAGAGAGTGTGATGCAAGGGACATGCAGATGAGGTCGTTTTGCTGACAGTGAGAAAGAATTTCAAGTTGAAGCTCGGGTGGGAGTCTGGTGAAGATGGCCAATGAGAATTGTGCAAGTGGCTGGGAAGAGTTGACAGAGGTGCATTTTCCGGACATGGTGCATAAGGCTGAGATAGTGTCAAGACATTCGAAGGCCAGAATTCAAATAGATGGGAGCTTGAAAATATTTTGTATGCAAGTGCAAAATGATGAATTTCTTCTCGGAAAGCTCACAGAAAATGAGGTTCAATTTACAAGCTTTTGTATTTGACGACGGGCTGCATTCAATCCTTGTTCCTGTAGCCGTTGGCGGGTGTTGCCTGTTCCTGAGCCAGCTGGCCCCACAAAATCTGCCTAAACATCACGACACCACACGACGCACGGAAGCGTTAGGACAGGAAATGGGACGGCCAATACGTTTCGGAACGATCACGTTGCTCGTTGATCATCGAATTAAACTGCGACTGTCTGTCAGAAGCCCCGTCAGCCTAAGTGCGTGGATCTCAACACTCAGGCAACATCATCCTCATCCGCCTCCTCCGGCCTCTGCTCCGCGATTTCCTCCAGTTTCCTGATGGCATCTCCGACCACATCAATATTCGAGCTCCTCATCAGATACCTCTTCATTGGATTCGCCAATATCCTTATTTGAAATATCGGCAGCGCTAATCAGATTGTTCATCAGACTAATGCGGTACCTAAGATCGAAGAGGTCCCAATTGGGAAGATCTTCTTGCGTCTTTGCAGTGATATCAAACTCGTGGCCATCACTGATTTCGCGCTGGGTCACTGAAGAAACGAGGCAGATTTCTTGAGGCTCGTCGTCGGCAAGCTGAAAATCCCTCAGCAGTTCATAGGGATCTTGCGCCAGATCACTTGTCCATGCGCGTGGTTCGTATTGTCTCGCCTGTGTCTGCAGCAAATGCCCGCGCAACCGAATGGAGAGGTCGCCGTTCGTATGGATGCCTCTATCAATTGGCTGCAGGGCTATTCGGCCGTCGTCAAACATTCGATGCGGAATACGGTCTAGGCTGGTCAGATCGGCGCAAGAGTCCAGGCAGACCATTCTGAGAGCATCAATGAATCTTTGAGCCGTCCCCCGTCCGAAAACTTCTATTAGAGCTTTCAAGCTTGCCACAATCATGCGTCAAAAGGGTAGATATGAGCAGCTTTACAATATCTGGTGCCTACCTTAGCAAAAGGCATGTCCCATTGTCCCGCTGCTTTACCAACCGAGAATTAGCTTACTACTTATTGAATTTAGAGAATATTGCTTGGCTCACCATTTGGACCGCTCGTTTGTTCCCGTACTTCTTCTGGTTGCCCGGCGAACTTGGTGACAGATTGCGCAGACTGCTGTCGGCGGATTACAAACTGTGAACAGACATGGAGTGATCTCAGCATTTATTTGAAAAAAACAAATGGCATATACCATGCAATATAAACACAAGAACAGCAAGGTTAGCAATAATAGTAAGAGTATAGAGAAGCAGGATAAGAGTTTGGTCAATATCATAAATTTAAACCCGAACACTATTCCGTTCTACCAGTACGTTGTCTACAAACTAGAAACAAATACTTCTTCAGACTCGTTCCTAGATCTTGAATTTATAACGAGAGCCTTCTAACGGTCTTTGAGATAAAGTTTTCTGTGGAATAAACCGTATGAATGGGTTGAGTAACATGTGTACAATACGTGGTTCATGGCCGAAAGTGGTCTTCAGCCCAACTGCGAACACGGTTAAAGTTGCGGCATGTGTGAGGTTCTTTCCAGTCGGCAACAACCCTGCCAGCATCATCCGACCAGCTGAAAACCATGGGAGTCAGGTCACCGTGGCATTGTACCGTCTGCCTAAGATAGTCAAGGCAGTGGTCTAGCGCTGCCATTAGCCTCACTGTTTTTGAAGTTTAGGACAGGAACATAGCTTACCGACGTGCATCCTATGAATTCTAGGGCTTTCCTCCTCCTTGTAATAATCTGGATCCAGAGCCATCCTCACTTTGTTCTTCAACGTGTTAGTCATCGCGGCAGACATATCACGGGCTTGAGGCACTTTACCACGCAATGGAGGGTATGCATCACATCTAGACTAGAAATTTCTTAGTCCATTACCGAAAGGTCTACTAGTAAGAATGCGAGACTTACGCCACTTCATAGTTCCCATGGCTGTCTTTCCACGTGCGCCCGACCATGCTCGATGCTTCGCTCCCAACAAGGTTCATGTATTGGCCTGAACATGGTCAGTGTGGTTCGAGGTTGGACTCTCTTGGCCAGTCACCTTTCAGCAGACTCTTCCATGCTGCATCAATCTCTGGCGATGGAGGCCCGACATATTGAGGCTGTCCTTCAATTACCTCACGGTACAAGGTTCCATTCTTGTAGAAGTGAAGGCCGCCAGTGAAACGTACTGTTTCACTGGCAAGTACACCTTTGATTGGTTCTATGTAAATCTTCATGTCAGCTCGTTATCTTCCTATCGTTTGAAAATACTGTCTGGCATACCTAACTCGGTTGGGAAGCCTTTAAGAAAGCCGCTGTCGATTCGAGCACTCGCTAGCCGAGTGTGAAGAACAAACAAGGCAATGACCAGTACAGGAAAAATGGCAAATAAAAGCAACGAAATAAAGTAATAAGATCTAGACACCGACACAATCGGTGACGAGGGCCTCCTTCGCAGAGGCAGCTGGTCTTCACTACACTCCGAGCTCTCTTCTACAGACACATACTGTGTTGACTTGTCTGCCTTGAAGAAGTTCATAGTGACTTAACTTTATGTTGGGAGAATAGAAGAGTGACGGGTGACCATCTGGTTCATCAAAGGGAGGTTCTGGTCTTGGAGATTAATGAACCCCGACTGCAACGGCCACAGGGTGCCCTACGACTAATGTGTCATCCAATGGCAAGAAAAATCATCTAATCCTTGACCACAATACCGGCAAAAGAATGCCGTTCGAGTGCGAATTGCTAGAAAAACAAATCAAAATAGGCACTATTTCGAAAACGGGTTCGCCGAACGCCCGCAGATGTCGTTTGGCTTTTCCGTCTCTGGCTGGCGACTCAGTCCGGGGTGGAGCAGTTCGGGTGCAAATGACGACTCCCTCCCGTCGAAGCTTTGACTGCCAAAAGTCAAAACATGGGACCGACACAAACTCAATGGCAGAGCTGTGTTGATCTTGACATCGTCACGTTGACTCTGTTCGGCACTCGACTTCGGTTCTCGAATAGGAGTCCATCGCCGATCGTACTCCTCAATAATGAAAATACATCACAATGGCGGAACGGCGGAATTTGCTGAAGTATAGACTATGAATCTTGTATACGGCGCATTTATGCGCTGAGCTTCTTCGTCGGGAGACAGAACCAAAGTCAAAACCCCATGTAGTAAAGTACGGTTGTAGATGATTCTCTCATTTTCCGAGCCGTGCAAGAGTCATGAGATATCATAGAAAGTCAGCAAATGACACGGCCAAGTAGAGTCAAATCGGGTAGATGCAATGCCCCTGGACCCAAATGCCAAAGGTCGCCTCATCGGATCACCGCAGTAGACAGTCTCAAAGTCTTGCTCTCACATCGCCTTTGCAAAGGATTTTCAGGAATATCACTTACACGTCTGACTTCAATCTCATCATTTCAACGACACCATGTCTTACGATAGTGAAGATAGCACCCGCCCCATGCTCACCGAGGATGAGCACGAAAAGGAAACTCCTGTTTTCTCTTCATCAGAGCTTCAGCGCCGCTACCAGCGCGAGGTTCTCTCCAAGCTCCTCATCGGTCTAGCTTTGAGCATCATCTTTGCCTTCTCCGTCACTTGGGTCTTCCAGTCTATCGTCCCGCCTTCTCGCACCAACGCCCAAGGCATCATCGAGAACCCTTGTGGCAACTCGTCCAGTGAGGCTCAAGCACTCGGTTGCCACTTTGACGTGCTCTCGTTCTGCTGGGTGCCAGAGGAGTGCTTCGACCGTGAGCTGACGGACAAGTTCCGCAACGCCGGGCCGTGGGTGTTCTACACCGACCAGAACAAGACAGCATCTGTGACTGAGGAGCAGTTCGGCTCTGACACTCAGCCCGTCTACCTTACCAACAGGCTTCACAAAACGCACTGCGCATACAACATTCTCCGGTTCCACAAGGCGTTGACTGAGAATCGCATGGTTCACCGCGAGGACGTCTTGACGCACACGCAGCACTGTACTCAGGTTCTGACGAGGATCAATGAGCCGGATGACATTGAGGTCAGGGCAAAGATTCAGTACCCTGACTGTGGGCACTTCTCAAGAATGTTTCCGGGAAAGGCGAAGGAAAGTGTGCCGGGTCACGGCCATGGACACTCCCACATGGGATGAGACTAGGGATCGTACAACCAGACAAAGTGGCTAGACTGAGACTAGTACAACAAAGCTTTTTTCTGGCCGTACAAATGAAATTTTTCACTATGACTGTATATGACTGGTGTGCTCTCATAGCGGGGATATGAGATTGTCACTGAGCCACTCGAGTCTGTTATCTAATAGGCGCCAAACTTAACCTCTAAACGGCCACTGAATAAGAGCCTTGAACACCATAGTCTGCATTCCGCTATTCTTGCCATATATATAACAACACTCGACTCGTACGTTTGGTAGCAATATCAACATATCACAAGGCGCAAAGTAAGCCAGGTAAGAGAACGTATGTAAGTTGTGCGACAACTACGAATCTATCTGCTACAAACTGTCTCTTATTATCCTTAATCTGTCACTCGCCAACTCTTGGGCAATGCTCGCTCGGGTTCCTTTGACCACGCCAGTAGGGCATCAAAATCATTGCAAACATGCATTACCCCATGATCAGCTACCCGGTGCGTGTCACCCTCAATATGGCCTTCGGCAGTGGAGTCAGCAAAGCACATTAGAGCCTGTCGGACGTAGTTGAAGCAGTGCGCCTTGTGCTCCTCCCACGTTAGTGTGACTCCGCTATGATAACCAGGTAGCTCCTCCTTGGGAACTCCGGCAGCCAAGAGACCAAAGTCCTCCAGGATTGATGCCTAGTGACTCGGGCGTCAGAAGTGCGAAGAATGAAAAGATCTATGAGATGGCTTACCAAACAGTGGATCTGATGGAAAGCTGCAATCTCGAACAAGTCACCTGAAAACAGCTTCTGAGGCCCGCTGCCGTCATATTGGGAGGCCCGGACAAAGGCTGGTAGTCTCGTTAGTTGGTGTTTCAAGCCTGCTTCAATAGATGCTTACCGTGGGAGAGACCTTGCCAAGAATCAAGAGTCTCATTTAGGACACTCTGGTCATGGAAGGCATGGGCAGTGACCTCGTACTGATCAGGGCCAGACGGCTTAGGAACCCCTCTCGAGCTCACATCTGCTCTGCAGGTCAGCGTCATTCATGAGGTAAAGAAGTGTGGCTTGCCATGTGGGACAAAGTGATTGTAGTCGCTCCCCGCCGGCCAAGCCGCCGTTTCGTGTCGCCCAGCGTTCTGTCTGAACACCGTAGTGGTCGCTCCCAGAAGACAAAGAATGAGGATAATCTCAAGACAGCAACGAAACATCTCCCAACGCGACATGGAGGTCTTGCGAATAGAGCCCCGCTCCAAGGCGTCCACAAATTCAGAAGAATCCGTATCACCGTCCGAGGAGGAGATGCGTCCAAGCAACTTGCTTTTTTCCATTGCAAAAGTTAGACAAGACGTTTTACGATACGAGGAATGGCCAATGTCAGTTTGAAAGATGAGGCAGGTCTCGAGAGGTGGGAGACCACAGAGAGAAGCAGATTCGTTCAGACTGTTGTTGTTGCTGTTGTACAGATATCGGCACGGCAGGGCACGAGGTAGTTTCTTTCTTCGCAATCCGAGCTCTCTCTAGTACATGTCGATCTTCCGAGCTACTCAAGTGCGATATGGCCCTCGTCCTTTCGCCATCTTCAAGAGTCTGATGCCTGCTAGCGTGTACGTCTACCAGAAAAGAAGCTTTCGGGAACCACAAACAAGCTTTGGGCTCCGTAAGAGTTGGCTCTAGCGGCCGCGTCCAATGATTCGAGCCAAAATAGCCGCCATTACCGATGTACCCAATGGGATACCGCACTTCACAAACTACACGCTGAATATCATCATGGTTCATGCCACCGGCTTTCTGCCCAAAAGTCTAAAAAGGAGCTGCCGTCTTCCGCGTGTAGATGGCCGTGATATAGAAAGCACTAGTGTAAACCTTTACCGGAGCCTTTAGAGAGAGCTCCATTTGTGTCATTGACTAGCAAGTGCCATGTGAGAGGAGTACGAATTTGAGCATGTAGACTTTGTGGCCCTTGTAGATAGATCTCGGTTAACCAGGACAAACAAGGGGTAAAGGCTAACAGAACGTGTGACAAAGCGGAGTCAAAAGGGTGAAAGATGATTGGTGCGCTGTTTCGAAACGTCCAATATCCCGGGGAGATAGTCCCCCCCCTCACATGCACACTAAACCTCCCGGCGTGTCCAGATATTCAACCCGATCTTTTTGCCGCCTACCGCCGGAAGGCCGGCATGTAGCGTTCGAGAATCTCCGGTCCCATCGGAATGGAGATTCCGCCAGAAGACGGCACTACCGGCGACCGCTCGCACTGTCAGCTCTGTCTGGGCCGCACAGTCGACCAGGTTGCACCACCGCTCATCCTCGACACCCCAGTCCACGGAGATCTTGGGGAAGCGTGTCCCGCAGCTGGCACACTCCACATCGAGAACGGCGAAGAAGGTTGTTTCCCTGTTTGTCGTCTGGTTTCTCGCCGCGGGGTTCGCTGCCCAGTCATAGTGATTCGTGTACTGCTGCCCCTCCAAGTACCGCGTCACTTGCAGATCCTCCATCATGTCAAGGTCTACGTAGCCCTGAAACTCCGAAGCGCGGGATCTGATGCATTGGACGACAAAATCATCCGAAGACAGGTACGCTGTGGAACTGGTTCGTTCTTGCGCAGCAATGGATCGCCCGTCAGTGCCGATGGCGCGAGACCGCTGGAACCTAGGCTGCCTGTATCGAGTCAGTCAGCAAGTAAACCCCGAATCTTCAGCAATATGAAGGAGCTCTGACGTACGCAACCTGCAGCAGGTATTGGGACTCATCTGGGGTGATAAAGTTCTCAATGTGCTGAATGAGTGGATCATATGACAACGTCCGTACTGTATAGCGCGGGCGCGGGCAAGAGTTGCCGAGTGGGATCTGGAGCTCCTCCTGGGACCGAGACTTTGCGGAGAAGAGTGCCGCTAGGATAGCCGCGGCGAAGGACATGGACAAGAATTGCTTGAGAGCCATTGTGTAAAGAGGGGGAATGTTAGAACGGGATTGACTGAAAGAGGTTAGAGAAGAAGTTTATGGTCAGGAATCGCAAACGCTAAGACCAGCACCGTGGGCCCGACGGATATCCGCCTTATATGCCCGATCGAGAGGCTTCCTATGGGACTTGAGAGAAACTGACGATTCATGCCTAGAGTTGTTCCTTGAGCCACGAAAAACTCTGAGATTTTCAAAGGTTGGATTCATGATGATCTCGATCCCCGAAGTTCAAACTTTGTCAACTTGGAATTCCCGATGGGAGACGCAATCATCTCGACTTATTCTCGTCGACGGGCGGCGATGCGTTGACTTTCGATCTTTGGAAAAGGTTGAACGGATCAACGAGTCATACGATCGAGCTGTAGTTCTTCTGTGGACTCGGAAGTATGGAGTATCACGAACAGCAAGAGTGACGACGCGTTGACGCTATCACGAACAGGAAGTTCACGACAGGGCGTCGAGTGACGAAAGCACCCGTGTCCGTCGGGCCGATGGCGTGGCCTCTGAATCTTGAACGAAGCAGCAACTTCACTGATGAGTTGTTAGCCGAGTCGACAGCGAAGTTGAACAGAAAAATGGATATTTAAGGGTGCAATCTATCCCGGAAACAGCAAAAGGTTTCTTCACTCAATCATCAAGTCAAACACCTTCACAGTCTTCCAAGCTTCTTCAAAATCTTCAGTCTTCACCTTGCCTCTAGCAACCTTCTTCAAGCAAAAGTCATCCTTCCTCTCATAACTCCAAACGCCATCATGCATATGACAAAGGTCACCGCCATCCTTGCCTTCGCTGCAAGCCTTGCCGCCGCCGCCCCGGGTGCCAAGCTCGCCGTTCCGGAGAAGCGCCAAACCACCGAGTTCGGTCCCTATCCTGAGGACAGTTACCAGGGCAAGGAGAACAGCAAGCGCCAGACTACCGAGTTCGGCCCTTACCCTGAAGACAGCTACCAGGGTAAGGCGAGCCAGAGGCGCCAGACGACCGAGTTTGGTCCCTACCCCGAGGATAGCTACCAGGGACAGGAGAATGGAAAGCGTCAGACTACAGAATTTGGTCCTTACCCTGAAGATAACTACCAGGGCAAGGACAACCAAAGACGCCAGACGACAGAGTTTGGCCCGTACCCTGAGGACAGGTACGAGGGCAGAACGAAACGCCAGACCACGGAGTTCGGTCCGTACCCTGAAGACAGTTACCAGGGCAAGAGCTCGAAGCGACAGACCACCGAGTTTGGGCCCTATCCCGAGGACAAGTATGAGGGAAACAGCATGAAGGAGAAGCGTCAAACCACAGAGTTTGGCCCCTACCCCGAAGACAAGTACGACAGCAACAGCATGAAGGAGAAGCGTCAGACTACGGAATTCGGACCCTATCCCGAGGACAAGTATGAGCGCAACAACATGAAGGAGAAGCGCCAGACAACCGAGTTTGGTCCTTATCCAGAGGACAAGTACGAGAGCAGCAACTCCAAGCGTCAAACGACCGAGTTCGGACCTTATCCTGAAGACAAGTACGAAGCCAAAAACTCTAGACGCCAGACCACCGAGTTCGGACCCTACCCGGAGGATAAGTACGAGAGCAAGAACTCCAAGCGCCAGACTACAGAGTTCGGCCCCTACCCAGAGGACAAGTATGAGGGTAACGGCAAGAAGGAGAAGCGCCAGACCACCGAATTCGGACCCTATCCCGAGGACAAGTACGAGGCCACCGACAAGAAGGAATAGAGTAAGTCTCTTACCGCCCTTACCTACCTCCCTCTACCTGCACGACGACCTTTCCGTCTGACGCAATGAACCAAACTTTGCAGCTTCTTGTCACCTTCACGAGTTAGAGTCGGAAGCTACATGGAGTCTTGCGGCGACAACAAGAAGAAAACCAAGAAAAGGGGCAGAAAAAACAGGTTTTAGATGGGGGAGTATGTCTTGAAGTTACTTGTGCCTAGCTCGCAGCTATAGACTGGAACTCGTGTTGTGTCTTTCAACCAAGTCCTTTCCCGTGATGTCCATGCCAGAGTGACTCGGATCCTGACTGTTTGTCAGTGTAGTATCATCGCAGTTGGGATAGGGGCTGTGAAGTTCCACCAGTCCAGCTCATTTAAATGAAAAGGAATTATCAAGCCAAGACTCGGTTTATTTTCGACAGCCGTACCAACAGATACTCAGCGTGGTTGCTGAAATTCAAAAGACTCATCCGCTCAGCAACGGCCACATTCACTCAAGTCACAAAAGGCAATGATCTGATGTGGCATGTCAACAGCAAGTAGTATTGCTCTACTCTTCCACACGTCCGTGTCGTTCATTCCCAAACATGTACAAGAAGCATGCTTTTTCGCAGCCGAGCCCACTACCCTCTCCCGTCATCCAGTTTCCCTCCTCCCATTCTCCAGACATCAGTGACATGACAATAAGAAGCGAAATTACATGATTTGTAAGGCTCTCGGTGACGTGGCAGCGCGAGGAAGCTTTCATGAGATGCGACGGCACGACGAGTTGTCTCGCAGGACAAAAAAAGCGTGCTCGAAGACATAGTAGGTAATAAAGGAATAAAAATAGCAAAAACATTTGTGGTATCTTTCCGGCAAAGCATGCTGCGGTGCGGTAAAGACGTGAGCAAAGCAGCTATATCGGTAACAAAAAACAAATCAGCTGTAGATCAGGGGGTATGATTGTTGGCAAAGACGAGCCCGTGCCAAGTAACGACCGTAAGAAAGTGTTTTCCCAAGGAACCAATACGCCGCCGCCTGGTCGTTCAGGCAGTCCAAGTGTTCCCATTTAATCAGAGAAAAGTATGGCATATCGAGGAGGTCACTTAGGCCTCCTCCATGATGCCGCCCTCGCCGCCACCCTCCTCGCGCCACTCACGGCTCTTGCTGGTGAGCTTCTTCACACCCGCCACGCGACCAGACCAGAGGGATTCAATCGGCGTGCGGAAGGTGAAGGCTCGCTGGGAGCTGATCACTCCAATCGCTTGGAGAACAGCTTTGCGACTGTCGCGGCCAAAGACGGCAGGGTGGCTGATCCATTCGAGACTGCTCTCGAGCTCGTGATCCAGAGCGGCAACGGTGTTGGCATCGATACCGGCACCGAGGC